TGCGCGCATGGCACTGACAAAAAAGGCCTAAACCCTAAGTCCAAGGCGATCTCGGCATGGAGATCCCCATGGAAAAGATCTGGATGGCCCAGAAGATGATGATCAAGAAGACGAATGACCCGGTTCAGGGCCCTTGACTAGTATAAGGGTTTAGGCTTTAAGGTTTCAAGAAGACGAATGACCCGGTTTAGGGCCCCTTTACTGGTTTAAGCAGATTTCGGGGCATACGATGCCATTTTGAAAAAGCGGCTTTCTATAACATACTATGTTCATATACTCTATCCATATGGGCTGTATATTAGACTATATTCATAAAGGGGGCTTCGTGGGGACATTATTGCTCCTGCAATGACGCAGAGAGTCCAATACCCCGTCATTAAGGAACATACATTAAACCATGTCATTAAGCCCGCTTTGTTTTAAGGTATTTTCCTTCATCAAGAGGTATTGGGTTGTCTGTGGACCGTGTGCAGAGAGGTCGTCTTTACAGCTTTCAATGACTCTGACAGCAATGCCAGAAAACTGTATGCATTCTGCACTTTCCTGGCACAGTGGTGCGATAGGAATCCGCTACATGTTACATGTTCTTTCTGAGCGCTCGCATTTGCATTCATGTAATTTCTTTGTCGGCTCAACTTGCACCCAGTCACTTGCAGATTGTGAGACTTTGGCTTGTTCAGTATGATTTGCATGCATGGCCAACAGGCTCTATCTCTGGCTTTGCTACAGTTGTAAACTGTGTTATACTTGTATGCAGTACGCATTCATGTACATATACATAGACCGTGCATGTATTTTCACATCTATACCACCCCAGTTGCATACTTACATACATGCATACGTATGTACATACATACATACATACATACATACATACATACATGCATACGTACATACATATATGCATGCAAACATACATGCATACATACATACGCTAGGCTGCCCGAGCCCCACGGTAGTGCATGCACCGAACAATCACGACTTTTACGCATGTTTCCTAGCTCTTGCTTGTGCTGCTGCAGCTGTTGCAACCAGCCTACGCTGCCTGAGCCTTCCCTCCCACCCAGCAGGATTGTTTGTGTCACATGTGTCTGGTTTGCCTTCCGGGGACGCGGCAGCGGTGTGTGAAGAGTCCCTGCCAGGGGGCAAGCCTCCGCACCATTATGCAACAGGTACATTCCCAGATGCGTGCCCAGGGTTGTGTGTCTTACATACCTACCTCCTATACGTGCATGGCTGCATGTTTGCTTACATACACAACGGCATGCTCACATATGGATAATTGGTATTTCAACTCCCGCGTTTAATTACGCACACGTGCACATGGAGGCGGCGAAAGTCTGCAAATGTCAGGTTTTCAAGATGCAGAAGTCGTAGCATGTGGTGTAGCAGTGTAACATGCCTCAACATGTTAAACAGAGCTTTTGCAAAACCGGTGCAGAAATTATGCATGCAGCCCTAAATGCTGTGAACCCTAAGGTTGGGTTCCTGATGCTGGAAATGCCCCAAACCTAAGCCTTAAATCCCATGCCTCAACACCCTAAAGCCCAATATAGGGGCCTTAATCTTAATAATTAGGATAGGTTTTTTGGGGCCCACGATACTATAACTACAATGAGGATCCCCCACAATAGTATATGTAATTATTTAGGCCCCTACATTAAACCCTTGTAGAGATCCCGAACCCCAAGTAGCATCGATTTCTGCAGCAGGACGCCGGCAAGATCGTCGTGACGGCAACTGAGATGCTGGCCTCCATGGAGGTCTGCATGCATTGTCTTTACCTTGTTGTGCTTCGGGCATGGGGCTTGTGGTTTGTTTCGGGAGGCTGAAAGACGACATTATCGAGCGCTTTGCTGCCTGTTTTTTAGGGTTAGGGGTGTACAGGGTTCAGGGTTGTAGGGTTTAAGGTCTTAGGAATAGGGTGAGGGTTTCGGGTTGAGGGTTTGGGGCTACCCTGCCAGGACAAGCCATTCCCCACGCGAGCCGAAGCCCTGGACGTGGCCAACGCAGTTATGGATGGGAGTTCCATGGTCATGCTGAGCAGCTTGGAACGCAGTTGTATAGTCAACAGACACAAGCAAACGGGACCGGATATGATTGCAGGCTATGCCCTGCACAACCCCAAGCCTTAAACGGTTATGTCCATCCTAAACCCTGAACCCTAAACCCCCTAAACCGTTATGTCTAAGCCTTCGTGCTTGGAGGGCATGCGGAGCTTCTATAAAACTCCAGTTCCCAGATTGGCAGCTCGTTTCGGGTTTTTGGGTTTAGGGTTTTGGGTTTAAGGCTGTTTGGGTTGAGCGTTCTGGGTTTCGGGTCTGGCATCCGGTGATAGCAGGTCGACCTCCGCTGTGAGACATCTGAGTGCACGAAAGTCCGAAAAGCAAGAAACAGACACAGCTGCATGCATGCAGATAAGCACCCGCCTGTGTTTGTGTGTGTATATATATATATAAATATAGACACACGCATTTGCGTGTGCACATGTGTATGTATGAATGCATGTTTAAAACTGACAGCCTAAAGCCTACACCTCAAAAGCCATATCCCCTACATCCTACTCGAGCCCATGTGCGAGTAGGGCCCACCCTCTTTTTGGGGCGTGCAGCGCCTTTGAGGTAGTTCAGTTGCAAAGGAGGTTTACACGAGTTCTGTCAGGCGGGTTCTATGTTTGGGATCCAGTGAACCTAGTGAATCTGGTGGTGATGGTGAGGTTTTGCAGTGAAAATGGCCTACGGTATGGTAAACCTTAAACCCTTAGCTTTTGCGCAGGGTCAGGAACCCGCAGCCCTGAGCCGTTCTGAGGCGAGCATGCCTCGCTCGTTCAGGATGTGCCAAAGAAGCTAGTCTTGTGAAGCTTCTAGAGATTAAGCTTTAGAGTTTAGGGTTTAGGGTTCATGGCACCCAAACCCCAAATCCTGAATCTAATGCTACAGTCGCTCGAGGGTCACTTGACAGAACCCACAGGCCCTTGTCTGGACAAAGTAGTTTCTGGAAGAGCTCCTGCCACGAAGTGCAAACGATGTAGGGACACAAGCACATTCAAGGCGATCTTGCCGGTTTGTTCCCAAGTGGAAGTGTCATTATCTGCTATCAATGTACACGCAAGAGTGAAAGCTGTTTCTGAAAGCACAAGCAGCCAGATGTGCGGAGGACGTTTTGAGTGGCCAATGTTTTGGTCCGGGCGACATGTAAAGCACTACAACCGAGGTCTTATAGAAGCTACTTGGGTGGGTTGACATAGCACACTGTACAGACTACAAATGGGTGGTTGTCAAAATCATGGTCCCTTTTTGGGTCCTTATGGTTATACGGCACCTATTATTTAGGGTACCCCAAAAGGGACCATAATTTTGACAACTACCCAAATGAAGCATAATTTGTGAGCAGGAGGCACATCGCAGGTTCCTAGCACAAAGAGCACGTGTACAAACAACAGTGCATGAAGACCCGAAGCCCAGGTGGCGAGACGGCTAACGGTGACTTCCCCGTCGAGACGGTTGGGATGATGCGCAGGCCGTTGCGTTGCGAGTGAGTCGGGCGGATGTATGAAGGCTCGCAGTAGCTGGTGGTGCTTTCACAGGGTGCTCTTGTTCTGCCACCGGGGCTCTTTAGGTCTGGGTGAGAAGCATCAGAAACGGACTGAAATGGGAGAGTTTTGCCTACATGCGGCAGGATCATTGAAGAGGTCGAGCATTCCTTTCAAGCGTGAGGTGCTCGGGTTTTGGTAGGCTCTGCGTGCTAGCAAGTGGAGCATGCTCTTGTCGCAGAAATGTGCGTCGAGCTTTCTGACAAAGTATCAGGCAAAGAACGGCTCATCTTCGGTGTTAGGCAAGCAGGAAATGACCTGTTTTGACAGATAGGACCCGAAAGCACCACGCAAACCTACGGAATCTAGACTTGGGTAGGATTCCAGAGACCTGTTTTCCTGTGATCCTTAAACCCTAAACCCGAAACCCTAATTCCTAAACCCGAAGCCCTAAACCCGACCCTAAAATCCCGTGATCTTTTGGGCCTACGCTCGAAGATCGCAGTGCTTACGGCAATTTTCGCTGCACCGAGCAAGTCTGGGTTCTTGTTCGGGAACCTAGTTTAGGGTTCAGGATTTAGGGTT